CAAAGGCTGCAATTTAAAAATTGTTGCCAGTCCTGTGAATTGCAGCAATGCACCTCACTGGTCAACATCTGGTTTGCAATTGTAAGCATCATTAACACATCAAACAACACAGGTTTTGGCAGAATAGAAGACAAACAGAGGGATAGAGGAGAAAAACAGCAAAAAAATGCAGCAAGTGTGGAAAAATAAATATAGAAAAAACTACTGTTCTTCCTTTTATTCTAGTTTTTGTATTTATAGTGGACCAGAAATGTGTGTAGTTGAGCTGCACGCCATCTGAACTGAGTTAGGAATAAAGCTGCTGTGAACCTTTTCCAAGGTAAATAGGTATACTCCCAAGAAACAGAGGTCATAATGGATACATTACTGGATGAAACAGATATACACACAGCACCAACAACCCTGCACCCACAAGTAAAAGTAAAGAGAATTTAGAGAGGCCAATTTAGTTAACATCCATATTTGTGGACTATGGGAGGAAGATGGGGTAGCAGATTGAGAACCCACACATGCAAGGACAAAAAAAAAGCTTACTTAATGCAGAAAAAAACCTGATCTGAATTCAAACACAAAGATTTTGATCCAGTGCAACAATGCCAGCAACTACTCCACTGTGCAGTCTATATTAGAAATCAGTTAGATGGAAATGGGACATTAAGTTGCAATAAATCTTCATGTCCAACAATACTACTCCTAACATCTGTCAGTCTGATTTTCAAACTCACCTTTGTGATTTAAGCCTGAGGCTTTTTCTACTGCCAAACCGCAAAACAAAGGATATTTGTTACAGTGAAGGCTCGAAGCTGCTTCAACAAATTGCCTCTTTGGTTTTTAAAGTGCATCGGATTCGAATAAGAGCAGATAATTTCTTTTGACATTCAGGAAAAGTCATTTTACAATCCCTGTCACTTAATGCAGCAATTTGACAGATACGTACAAGAAAACAGAGTAAGAGTTAAGCTGCTGTGCCACACGCTGTTCCATCATTGTTCACGCTATGCAATTCACAGTGTACTTAATACAACTCTGAGTAATGCGAGAGTCATTACTTTTGTTTGTCTTTGGGGCTCACTTGTGTATTTATTCACTATTGCTTTTGTGCTTTTTCTGTAAATGTGAGAACCTTCAGACGTGATAATCGTGAGAAGAGGAATACCGTGAAGATTATTTCATAGCTTTCATTGCCTACTTCCTTTCTCATAAAGTCGCTCCGATCCAAATGAAAACTTAAAGTTAAAAGTACATCAATGTTTTCCTGTGGGATTGTTAAACCCTGGATATTTTTGCATTGTAAAATACACAAAACTCATTCTATTGTGTAAGGATTTAATCAGCTAGACCAATACAAAGTATCAAATAAAAAATTAATGGAAAAGGGACATATTTGTTATTTATTTTTTACAAGCAAAAGCTAAAAATTCTGGTGTGCATGCATATTCAGCTCTCTGATTGAATCTTTTCTAGAATCATCTTAAGCTCCAGCTTAAGCTGTATGCCTTTTGGGGTATATATTTACCCCCAAAGGCTCAAAGTGCAAAGTGTGCCATTTTAGAGCACCTTCTTTCAGATGTCTGCTTCCTACATGGCTTGTGACAAATCAAAGAAGGTAAAGGGCATCGAAAACAACCAGCATCAGGCAAATGTCAAAATAAATAAAGATATAAATGTATAGAAAGTCCTATTCTTATCCGTAAAATAACCCACACTGGTGGTGGTTGGTGGGCTTCATTGCACAGATCACAGTGATTCTGATAGTTAAATAATTTTAGAGTCTTACATAGAATTATACATGGAGAAAATTTACTAATCAAGGATTTCTGAAGGCAAAGAATTTTATTAAGTGAAATAAAAGAGTAAGATGGTCTAAAACTCAAAATACCTGCCACTTTTTTAAATTCTTAATTGTGAAGAACACTGAAAATATAATAATTATTCTTCTCATTCCGCTTCAGACTTTACATTATTATAAATTTCTGTCACAAAGAAAAAAGAAAAGAAATCACCATAAAACATACTGAAGTTTGTGGCAAATCATGGGAAAGCTCAAGTATAAAATGTTGAACCAAAAATCATGGCCCAAAAAGGCAGAAAGAAATTGGAACTTTGGTTAAACGTTCAATGTACGAGCCAAAAAAACAACAACAAAATCAACAGAAAAAAGCTGCTGCTGCTGTTTTATAGCTGCCTTTAAAGAAGTGTTTTTAACATATACAACAATGAAAACCCTCAATTAATGAAGATTTAGAAAGACTGAAACTTGAGCTGCGATGCAGCTCCTAATGATCCTGGCCAGTTCAGGAGAAAAACAGATAGACTCGTCATAGTTTTGATTTGCTGCAGAATTAGCTGTGTTGGTGCCTCCTAAAAGCAAATGTGTGTGTATGAGTCATGTTCTGGTCAATGTTCAGCTTAAACATCAGCTTATTGTCTATGCCTCCAATAAAATCACTTTCATGCCAAACAAGTACACCAGAAAGCCTTCGTGATGCAGCCAATTTCTCTTTTAAGCTCACGCCCTTTCAGTTTAACCCTGATTAAAACAACCTTTAACATCTCAAAAAACAATTTCCTTTTGTTCTCTCTCATCCCTCTTATAATTGCAGAACTGATCCACTAAGCTTAACGTTCCTTGACCTTGTAAGTAAACTAAAGTCCCCTTTTATCAAGCTTTTATTAGAGGTTGATTACTGTCACAGCCCGCAGGGGCTGGTAGTCTTTGGCCTTCATTAAAGGTCTGAGTCACGCAAATGAGGGTACCAGGGCTGCCAGGAGTCTGCTGAGACATTCAGCCATCAAAGTGGGAGCGAAGCATATTTATCTAATGCGTGTTCTGTCCTGCTCTCCATTCAGCCCTTTTTGTTTATAGTTCAAATCCTCTAGTTTTGCTGGTGTCGAGTGAAAATGTCGCAGCAACAAAATCTCCTGACAGCAGGTCATGTTTTTTATTTTATATTTTTTGCGCGATCCAAAACGATAGCGTTGCTCTCCGTCTCATTTCATGGGTGATATTTTCTTTGAAAAGGATGATTCATTGTTGTTCTGATGACATCTCTGCTTGAAGCCCTGCAATCCACCGAGCAGCGCCTGGCAGAAACTCATTTCTTTTCTTTTTTTTTTTCTATTTATTTATTTTATTTTTTTTTTTTTTTTGCAGTTTTGTGAGCATATTCCCACTTGGAAAAATTCCCTAAAACTGTGACAGAACCAGCCTGTCATAGCCAACGCCAACAGAGAAAAAGCATGAACCGTGGAGAGATTTTCTGAAGGGCTCCACACTTAATTGTGACTTTGATTATTCAGTATTTGAGGCCATGTGTGACCGCACAGTCATAGTCAAAAATTGACCTGATTGATATTTTGTGCTGCAGGTTTACATCACTAATCTCAAAGCCATCAGTAATGACTGAATCTTAGTGTGCGGTGCAGTATTCAGCCAGTGGTTCAGCTCAGAGGTCAACACAAACTCTCATATATACATTTTTTGTTCATTTCACTCATTTTAACCACATGGACTAAATGAAGAAAAGTTTTACCGTCAGACGAATTTGATCACAATCAAGCTGTCAAACAAAGGAACACTGCACCAACGCCAGATTTTAATTTTGCCAATATCCATAATTTCTAATAAGAATAATCGAAATTGCGCTAGTCAAAATTATGCCCGTAACATTTTATGGGCTACAAAAAAACTTGATGAGGCACATTTATGTAGATTTCGGTTGGCATCAAACTCATGCTTTTGAATGTCAAAGACGTTGTACATTGTTTAATCAGTCCGCTCTGAAAGACAAGTGGTTCAAATAAACAATTCAAAGCCCAAATATTTGTCTGATATATAGGCAGAAGATAAATGCATATAAAACTCTGAATGTTCATGTAGAGCTGAAAAGGAGGAAGAGGAGGAAAGTGAATGAAAAAGTAAAAAGTAAAAGAACTGGTACGCCACAAAATTATCCGTCCAGCAGATCGCATGCTAATGGTTCATAATGCAGTTAATGGACTCCATGAAGCACGTTTGTTGCAAACACTGCAGTCAATATCATGGTGCTGGGAAATAAAGCAGCAGAAGTGAAACAGCGAGAGTGGGAGTGGCAGGCAGTAAATCAAAGCAGGACAGCTAAAAGATTAAAGTGAAAACTGCTGCTGCTTTAAATGAAACAGGTAGATACATAAAGGTCTGAATATTTTATGAGATAGGTAATGGATTAGATATCTGGTGTGGGAAAACATGTATCTTGGTCAGGCTTTTTTAATTGACACCTCAAACTTTAAAGTTCTTCTCACAGAATTGCAAAAATCTTCCTAACTAATAATCAAATGATGGTTACCAAATAAATGTAAGCCTCTGAAATTTTTATTTTCATTTTTTATTTTTATTTTATTTTCACATTTTAACATGTTAAAATCACACATTTCAATTAATGTCACTGGGTTTTATTTGGACAAAGTAACAACGAGTGGTGTAAAGAAAATAATGCAACTTTTGAAAATGATCCTGCAAATTATCAACTGCGTTTCGGTCTGCACTTTGACTGGGCCATTCCAAATCATGAACATGCCATGATCCAAAACATTTTATTGTATCATTGGCTCTCTGTATGCAGTAATTTTCTGCATTAGTATAAAGTTATAAGCATTTTGCAGTCTAACAGGTTCCTTTCCGACCAAGACAAGACATCTCCAAATCATGATGCTGCCACCACCAAATTTAATGATTTGGTTGTGTTGATGTATTTTTTTTGCCACACTTTTATTATCCATCCACTTGTTCTAGTTTGTGTAACTGTATCACATACAATAAAATCCCAATAAAATAACATTAAGGTTTGGCATTGTAAAGCAAAAAAAAAAAAAAAAAAGAAAAGAAAAGCAACATTGAGAAGGTACAAATAGTGGAGACAATTTACGGGCTTTGAGATTTTATTGCTCATGTTTTTTGTTGTAATAAAACCGTTGCTGCTTCAACACGCAGCTGATCGTGTTCTGTCTGAACCTCTTACCTTGTAAAGCCTCTTTGGCCCGATCCAGCTCCTCCTCCTTCTGGGCCAGCTGCACTCGGAGCTCCGTGGCGGACAGGACGTCAGCCGAGCAGCCTCCCTGGGTCTCCTCCAGGTCCTTGCTCAACATGTCCTTCATCTGCCGCAGCAGGTGCACCTCCTCCTGGAGCTGGGCCACCTCTTCGCGCAGCAGAACTAGGATATAAAGGGAGAAGAGGAGAGCTTTCAGAGAGTTGAATGAAAACCTGCAGACCTCCTTTTTTAAAAAAATATTTTTTATTTCTTTTAAAGCCAAGGTAAAAACATGAAGCAGCTAGAGAGTGGGTTCTCACTAATCTTATTCAGGTTCATTCAAACGCTTTCAGAACTGGTCTTACTCAAACGCAAATGACTTAGAGATCAAGAAGTCAAAAGCTTTATTTTGATTGCGGAAAGGAGATATATTATAGCTTATTATAGATAAGTCCCCTATTATCTCTAATAATCATGGAATAATTCTCACTCACAGAATAACTAATGATTGTAATAACTTTATATTGTTATTTTTGAAGCTGCCTGGTGAATCTACTCTGTGACAGGAATTGTACACAACAGCATTCATTTGATATTCACTAAGCGCTTCAAAGTGCTTAACACCACCAATAATAACATGAAAAACAGAAAGTGTAAGAAGCTCGTTCTACCCTTCACAAACACGAGTCACCAAAAAATGTTAAAGTGCTCTTTTATACAACATCTCATGTTTTTCACACAGCCATGACAGAGTAATGGCAAAGTTTTCTCCTGCACATCAGCCTTTATCTAAAAAAAAAAAAAAGATTTATTTTTACTCAACAAATGTGCTTGCATAGATTACGGCATATGGAGAGTCATTTAGGAAAAAAAAAGACAAGAGGGCTCAATCTGCTCGATTTCATGCATCCTGAGGGCAAAGGGGTAAGATGGGAGTGAGGGAAAATCGCTCAGCCCCATCCTGCAAAGCTCTGTTATCGAGTGCTTTGCATAAATTCCACTTCACTGTAAATTCCTGCATCCCAACTCCAGTATTTCTGTATGAACACAGTATGGATGGAAAGAAAATCTCCACAGAAATTCTTTTTTGAAAATGTGCTGGGAGTCAGAGTATGAATTTATTTTTTAATTTATTAAATACTATAAAAACGATAGATCTGTCCTCACTCCTTTTGTTCTTAAGTTTTCTTCCACCTACTTCTACTTTTTTACTTGTATCTCTATAAACAGTGGGGAACAGATCTATACATTAAAATATTTTTGGATTGGTCACGATGTGAACATTACTAAAACTTGATTATCTTAATGTTAATTTGTGACTAAAGTTTGAGTAACTGAGTAACGGCAGAGACAAAATACGAAAGCACATAATTGCGGTTTATGGGGAACGCAGCACAGTTACGTAGAAGTAGCTGAAATACAAAAAGCTCAATCTGCGGTAAACAAAAAAATTAGTTGGACAAGAGCCATGGTGTGTGCTGGCTATATAATACTAAGATGCACTAATTTTGAAACAGGACTAACATTATAAACTATATCACACTTCTGAGAAAAAACAGCTAATTTTGCATTGGCACAATCTGAAGACCATCAAGCAAGAAATGTCACAGTTCCTCGCTAATTTGGAAAAGGCCAAAAGGTCCCAAAGTTTATTGCAGCTCTTATTGCTCTTACAAAGAACAATAGTTGCTCAGAGCTAGAACGGTCAACCTTTTAGAGAATTATTTTGATACAATATGCCAACTTTAACATAGTAAAATGTAAAAATTGTATTCTCATCTGTTTTTTCAATGAAACCACCATGGTCAAATTAAGAAATGATTACCTTGACTCCAGTTCAATCCAAACCAAAGGCAGTCAATCTCTTCCAAACACTCTTAAAAGTATTCCTTCCCCAAACAGTTACTCAACTAAGTGTAACTGAGTAAAAGTTACCCACATCAGCAGTTAATATTCATATCTCATGTCATGACAGACTTTTAAAAACAAACCCTAACTGAGGACATGCGGTATACTAAACCACTTAGACCATCTAGGAGTTTATGGGCCACAGTGCCATAATTCCTCCTTTGAAAATAAAATAAATCTGTCTGATAAATTTACTGTTTGAATAATAAGAACCTACCTCTCTGGGTTTTCAGGTCTGTTAATTTGACTAAGTTCATGCGACTTAGCAGATGTGGTGCCATTTGAATGATGAAAATTTAACAAAAAGAGGTAATTAGAAGGAGGTTGGAAGATAAAAAGAAACACTTGTTGGTGAAATGTCATTAGAAGGAGGTGTAATTAATGAGCATGATTAGCAACTCCATTAGCATAACCCTTCCTGGACATTAGAGCAGTTGTCACATTTGGAAAAAAAAATGATGGCAGGATAAAGCTCAATTGGTTTAAAACCTAAAAATAATCACATACCCAAATTTTTATTCATTAGCCTACTTTTAAATTTTCATTTCATTTATTGTCCAAAGGCAGCAATACCAAAGATTTATACTTTTTCAGTATAAATGGGGATACTGAAAAAGAGCTTGCAGTTTGTCTCGGCCACTCCAGTGCATTCCTCAAATCACCAAATGGTAGGTCTTGCAAATGTCAAAAGAGTCTGTTTTGACATTTGCAAGACAACAGGTAAATTTTCCAAAGCAGTTCATACAAACAACAAAACACCACAGATTACCTGATTTCTCCAAATCCTCAGTTCATTTCTCAAAAGTAAAAGTGTGTGTCAGTGAAGATGTCAGTGCCTCAGAATGAGAACGGAAAAGAACGTCAAATTGTTCTGTTATGTTATCAATATAACAGGTGAGGGACGTTGTTTAGTAATTTATTGAAACACTTAAAGTGTTTCAATAAATCACTTAAAGTGTTTCAATAAATTACTATTGAGAAAAACTATATTATGAGAAAAAGTGCCAAACATGAAATTTATATATCTCTAAACGCTTGGAAAATATAATTTATGGGAAGGAATACAAAAACTCTGCAACTGATGCAATTTTTTTAGTTTGAATCTGTTTCAGTGTACAAAATGAATCTAATTGAGACCAAATGAATTTCACCTGATGATAAGTTAGTTAGGTAACTTTATGGGGGACGTCATTAACAGGCAAATATGAAGAAAACTCATCTTAGAGTAATTTGGATGCAGTGTCTGGCTTGTGCACTTATTGACTACCACTCTTAGTAACAAATACTTAGGAGAAGTTTAGAAATATTTAGTCTATTCACAAAAAAACTAATAACATCACAACTGACAGAGAAACTTCTGATTCCAATATTTCTAATGACCTCATGAAAAAACATCAATTAACTGGATGTAAAACAGAGATACATTTGTTTGAGTGTTTGTGTTTAAAATTATTCTCATCTGTTGAGCTTCCCAACTCCGTCTATAAATGAAGTATTCATTGTAAATTCATTTAACTGGTTCTGTGTGATATCACTCTGTTGGTATCATCAGGTGAAATTCATTTGTGACTTTGACTGACAGACACATCTTCCTACTACTTGCTCAGAACATTTTCGGTTTGCCTGGTTCCAAGTGAATTTTTTCAGATAAAATCCCAGATGTCTCTTCAAAGAAACTTCTGATGTTCCAGCTTGTGATTCTGTGGCCCCAGTCTGTTGTGCTGGCCCCTCCGGACAGTTTAGGGTCATGATTATCACTAGATATGATTCGACATTAATCAGACAGCACTCAAAAGAAGTGAATGTGTTGCCCTGAGGTTTTTATATTCTCATGCAGTGACTCAATGCTGCCAGGATTCTGAGTAGCACAAATATGCAACTCCACTGCTGCAGCAAAAGCTTGCCAAATTCTTACAGTTTATTAGAGACAAGACTGTCAACATCTGAGCCTTGCTGTGCAAGATCACCTGTCTGAACGTGCAACAATAGTAAATAGTTAGTGTGTGATGAGGAATCACTTAGGCTTCTTTATGATTTATAATTTATTCATTGTGATAGCAAACAAAAGCACAATGACATAGAAAAAAAATAGAATGCTTTTTTTTTTAAAACAATTCTAGCAAGGACTTATATACAAAGTAAAATTAAATCCTATCAAACCACAAACACATTTTATCATATTATGCGCATGCCACACATCTCAAAAGACTTTTCATTTTGCTGCACTAAAAGGCCAGCACAAACTTTTTGCTACTAATAATTTTTCTCCCTATACAAATAAACACAAACCTCTTGCATGAACAGATGTTTCTGTGAGCACAAACAAAGTAACCCTGGCAAAACAAGGTTGTATTTTAGTTTCAGATGTTGTTGTCAAAACTCAAGATAAAGACCTTGGTGGAGGTCAAACGCTGCTTTTATAGATGAACCTTCAACACCATCTGTTGCCTACTTGCTCAATAAGACATCACTCCCTCCCCCCTCTTTAAACAGTCACTGCTTTCTGACATGACAAGAAATGCAGGAAGATCGACATTAATACCTTAAACTTTTCACTGGAGCTCTGAGTATAATATCGGACAGGAACTCGCTGAGGCTTCTGTGGCGATAAAAACAATACTGTTTTTAGAAACAAACACTGTGACCTTTTGGTTTTAGACTAATCGTTTTGGGTTTCTTTTCCTGGTTTTAAGTCCACTGCCAGATTGCAAAAACTTTTTTAGACTGCACAGTAAAGCTTTTCCTTTAGGCAAGAATAAACTTGAAGACATGAGAATAAAATCATGTTCATGCACAATGAAATACCACTATGTTTTATGAATACATTAGAGGTGCAGATTCATTTTTTTAAATGCCAGTGTTGATTAAATAACAACACGGACATGCAGAAATTGTGTTTTAATTTGCATCTATGCACACAAACAAAATCATAGTATTTTTTTTTAAACACTGAAACCTGTCCATTCTCCTTACAATTTATTTCTGTCCTCCTTGACATTTATTATGATGAGGAGTGAGAGGGATTAGACTGAATTGTTTGAGGAATATTTATAAAATGATCCTTGAATTATGTACATTTCGTGATTTCTCTCCCAGTCCCATTCTTCTCCAATCCACTAAACCGACTTCGGTTAATAAGATTCACTGAAATGGTAAATAAAACCTTCTTCCTCAGCTACATATCTAAACGGCCACTCTAAGTGTGTGCATTTGCATAATAGCAGCCATAAATCAGCTGACATGCAATTGGGAGCGGTGAATTATGAATCTGATCA